ACGTCCGCGTCCACCCCTGAACCAATCAAACCACCAGCTAGTGAGTCTCAGTCAGTGTGTGCATGTGCAAGTCTGCTTTTCTATCAGTATGTGTTGAACTTGGTTGTCATGGTTAAATGTTGCCTGGGACTAAACCATCTACCAATTCTAAATGTCAAAGTTTACTGGTTATGGTTCGTTCTACTCAGTCGGTGAAGCTTCTGTGAGAAACTTACCCTGATAATGTCATTGTGAGGTCATTGAGTTATCTACGTGAGAACTTGGAACAGAAGGCCCGTCTTACAAACTGCGGGTGTGGAGCTTAAAATACATGGTTCTTTACCAGGAAAAACTGCTCTCATGAATTATGGGAACATATAAGACCACGTTTTTTCAGAGTAAAAGCATTTTGATCTTTGCTGCTTAACTTATTTCTTTTTCAAATCTGTGTTTCACAGGAGAAATCACTGAAAATACTTATGAGGAATAACGTAAAATTAATTAATTACACAATGAGTCTAGTTCTTCTGTTCGCAAAACCAAGGAAAACCCAGTATATTATTTTCTACTTTTCACTAAACAGACTGAGAAATCATTTTCAATTGAGAATAGAATCGTGTTGATGTGTACATGTATTGTGCTCTATCGTTCAGGCCCGGGCTGGGGTCTGCTTGGGGTGTGTGTAATGCGTCTGCGGGCCCCGGGTTGTGGCTGGGGGGTGGTGGTGGTCTCTGCTGCTGCTCTGCTCCTGTTAACCACCCTCGGACTGGCGCTGGCCCTCATCCTTACACGTGAGTCAGTGTTGCACCTTGAACCGTTCATTGCAATAAATTACATTAAATGTAGTAGAATGGGTTTTCACGTTATGTGAGAGAGAGGTGACGTCCTGTGACTTTGTCCCTGCTTTAGAGATCAAAGGTCAGGCAGTGGAGGATCAGCTGATGTCCACCAGCCCTTCAGACCTATTGAGAACAGCAGAGGGTGATTCCAATACTTTACCCACAATCCCATTCAACAGAAGTCAATGGGACAGTACTGCAGCACCACAACCTACAAGGATCCCCTTGTCTGAAACACGTAGGCAGCTCGACTCATATCTAAGTTTATCATGTGTTAGCCGGGTCAGTTTTATGTCCGACCTCATTCAGTACAAACGTCATCATGTCTTTATCTGGAGGCTTTTACCTTTGTGTGTGTCAGGTTGTGGGGGTGTACTGACCGACTCAGAGGGAAGTTTCAGTTCCCCAAACCACCCTGGCTCCTACCCGCCCAACTCCCTGTGTGTGTGGGTGATCCGAGTACCACCCCCCTCCCTGGTCCAGATCCACGTTTCGTCTTTGGCCGTGGAGGGGCCCTCACCCTGTCTGTTTGACTGGCTGGAGGTGCAGGAGCAGACCGAGCAGAGCTCTGTGGTCACCAGGTTGGTCTGACCCAAGCGACACAAACCCTTTGACATATTTATCAGTTTTACTCATGAAACAACTTTAATGTTGCACTTCATTTTTTGATGCACTCAATAGCTAACTCAGTTTAGTCAGTGTTAGTTTTCATTGGCTGATTATGGAAATTATGGCGGGGCAATAAAACAATATTAATTATTATCGAAATAATATTTTCATCAATAGCTATAAAACAAAGGTTCAATGTACATCGATATATCGCTTATTAACAGTGAGGAGGTATAACACATAATAATGTACCACAGATTTGTAAAGAGTTTAAAACCACAACCTTCATTCAGGAAAAAAAACTTTAAACCTAAAACAAATAATAATGGTATCAATTGTTAAAATTATCAATACATACTGATATAAAAATATTATCTTGATATAATCTTTGGCCACAGTCCATCCTTAATGGAAACATAAGTGAAACTGATTTAATTTTACACGTTCTGCCGGGTGTATGTCATTACATTAATTTGTTGGTAGATGGCGCTAAAGGTCTTTGCATGATCGTAAAGCACTTACTGGTACTGAGGGTTTCTGTGACAGAATTCAGCCCTTGTGAATACTTTGACCTTTGCTGTTAGTTGCATTCTTGGAAAGTGTTGTAACCTGATTCGCGAAACTGCAAAAAGGGAACATAGGGTCACAAAGCTCACAGATCGTTATAAGAATTCACCGTGCAAAGTTCAAACTCAAGTGGAAACCCAAAGCTGTAATTTAAAAAAACCCTGATCATTCGAAAACAAAAGGTCTGTATTTCTCTTATGCAGGTTCTGTGGTAACGTAGCACCACCGACAGTCAACACAAACAGCAGCACAGTGTGGGTCACCTTCCGCTCTGACAGCAGCATCACTGGGGCTGGCTTCACGGCTCAGTACAGGGCCCTGCAGCCTGGACACAGTCAGTAGTCTGCACATGGAAGTTAAACGTACATGCTTATATGCATTAATGTGCATCTGTGCATGTATTTACTATGTGTTTTCACAGAGAGCTGCTCCAGAGAAGAGTTCATGTGTGACAGTGGACGCTGCCTGCTGCCCGTGTCTGTGTGTGACGGTCATCCAAACTGCCATGACCAAACAGACGAGGAAAACTGCAGCCATAAACACAAGGGTGAGAGAACTGAGATAAGAAAACAGAAATGTCAATAAGATTTGAAAAGGTCATAAGAACAGTGGACACTGACTCTCCTTACAGAATGTGGCGGGCAGAAGGCAGGTCCTCATGGTCACCTGTCAAGTCCAAACCACCCAAAACCTTATCCTCACCAGCAGGTACACTCACAACTGCCCCAGGCCGCGAAACACACTCTGAAGTGAACCATTTTGTTACCTGACCACACGTTCCTCTGTTTTCCATTAGTTGTGTATGTGGTATATATCCGTTGAGGAGGGCCACGTCATCACGCTGAGTTTCAGGAACTTCAGCCTGGAGACTCAGGACGTGTGTGAGTTCGACTACGTGGAGGTGCACGACAGCGTCGACAGCGGAGCTGGAAGAGTCCTGGGAAGGTGACACACAACACAGCTTAGATCTTTTATTCTCTGCAAGTCAGATGTTATGTAGGATTTTGTGGGGGGGGGGGGCCTGACCCATGACCTCTGCAGTTACCCTCTGCCTTCGTCGTTGTTAAAATCCTGTATATTTATGGTAAATTTGGGACGTCACATGGCCACAATGCTGTGAAGCTTGTTTGCTCTGCCTTTGTCTCAGGTTTTGTGGCACCACCGTCCCACCTGACCTGACCTCCTCGGGCCCCCACATGACTGTGGTGTTCGTGGCTGACGAGGGAGTGGCCGACAGCGGATTCAACGCAACGTACCAGGCAGTGTCCGTACTGGACAGTGAGTTTTACAGTGCAGAATTACAGCAATACCACTCAAATGATTTCCATTATATTTTTGGAGGGGTGGGGCATGACCCCATTACATTTTGGTGTGGAAATAGTTTATCGCTTTATTTAACATTGTGAGTTTTTCAACGTTTCAGTTGAGTTCTCAGAGAATAATTCATGGACGTTAATTAAAAAAATCAGGTATGATTAGGGAACTGGTATTTTTGAGTGTGTGCATTTTGTGCAGATCAAAATATATATTTTTAAATAAACTGGATTTAACAGATTAAAATGTAGTTTCCACCTCCTGGTGGAGGTATGAGCTCATCTAAGTGCTTTTCTAGTTTCCTTTATATCTGATCCTTTTTCTTCCTTCTTTTTACTTCCTTTTTTCTTGCCTGCATTTATTCTGCAAAAAACATTTATATCTGACACTTTCTTTAGGGGCCAGAATGCTTCCACATTTTTCTTTTTGCTTTGCTCTCCAACCTTCTTCAGCCTCTTGCGATGGTCTTTTTGAATTGTATTTTCTCGGAATCTGCAGGGACATGTGGTCCCAGCCAGTTTGCCTGCAGTTCAGGGGCGTGCCTCCAGCCGCAGTGGTTGTGCGATGGATGGAACGATTGCCCAGACGGAGCAGACGAACAGGGATGTGGAAATTCCACCTACCCTCCCTTCAGTGAGTATACCTGTTATCTCTGACCCTGATCACAGTCCTGATCTGGCACAGATACACTGTTTACTGTCTCCAGAGCGCCGCTGTTTGAACCACTTACAATAAAAGAACAAACTACAAAATAAAAGCATGCAGGGTGGAGCTGATTTGTCACTTACAAAATAAGAAAAGAATGTTGACCTCCAATTATATCATAATTTACTTTGTATTGGAGAAAGTGACTTTTGATTCTCTGGATTGTTTGTCTCCATGTCCTCAGCTTCATCGTGTGAGTTAATAGAGGTGGAGATGTGTCAGGGCCTCAGCTACAACCTCACCTCGTTCCCAAATATCTGGCTTTCCATTGCTGACCAGAGAGAAGCTGCCACAGTCCTGCGACAGTACCGGGTAAGAGCTACATTCATGAAATATCCAATTCACCTTTCTTTTTGAATGCTGGATGATCAAAGACTGAGCCCCATATGTTGTCATGCAGGTGCTTATGGAGCTGGGCTGCTTTGAGCCCCTGCAGAGGCTGGTGTGTGGGATGTTTCTGCCCCAGTGCAGCCCCCAGGGTGGCGTCCTCCAGCCCTGCCGCTCAGTTTGCTCCTTGGCTGAGCAGCAGTGCAGTCAGGCCCTTGATCTCTTCTCCTTCAGCTGGCCCTTCAACTGCCACCTTCTGCCCGACTCACAGGACCCCTTAGAGTGCTCACTGCCTTGATGCTCACCTCAGCTCTAGTTTAGTTTTTCTGAAAACATTTCACTGCATCGACTTTGCCTGCAATTTCACACAACTGGAAACTTTTCTTCTGGACTCAGCTGTACCACAGCACTCAAGTGTGACAGAAATGAGATGCATCATTACTGCAAACCTCATTACACACTGCTGCCTATAAAGCTTTTATGGCACATAGAGAAAAAGGTGACAGCTGCCATTTTATTAAAAAAACTAAAAAAACAGCCTCAAAGTACCTTTATGACATGTTTATCGTGTTTTTGTCTGATTCACTGAGCTAAATGAAGGGGTTGAAGCTTCCTCTCCCACCGAAAAATCTGTTATCTCTTTTTGCACTATTTATTGCCTTGATGTGATGTTCAGTAAATCATGTAAATGACCTATGAAGGAAGAATGAATACTGAATGCCTTTATTGCATGGTTCTTCAACACAGCACATTACGATGCGCCTAAATCATTTCAGTGCTCATAACAGTCCAGACCTGATATGGTGAGAGATGCAATATGACAGACATGAGTTGAGTCAAATCATGAACTGCAGGACAAGTAAATGCAAACCTCGTTTGAAACCTGTATGGAAAAGGTTATTCAAGTTAAAACCCACGTAATTGGTAACTGGAAGTTACAAGGTATCTCAGAATTTATGAGCTTTGACAGTTGTTAAATAAAATATTGCATATAAATGATACCAATAGCATACTTAGTACTCATACGCTTAAATAATAATAATGCTTAAATATGTTAAGCACTTTTCATAAAATAATACTAAGTACTTTACAGAATAAAAACTATAAAAACAATACCTTACCCAAACACACACAGGAATCGAAGCAGTCATAAATCACAGATCTCATTAATTTGCAAAGAATAATAGGGCAGGTAAACAAAGATAAAATGATAATGTTTAAAAAAAAGGTGTTTTCAATCAAGTTAAACTAGAAATAAAAGAACACTACTCAAAGGGAAACAAATATAGAAAATAAAAACTGAATACAAGTCTAAGATGTGTAATTAAATAAATAACATGAATAAAATTAATTAAAAGCCAGACTGAAAAGTAGCTCTTTTAAAAATATCCACATTCTCTGCTGCTTTTGGGTCTTCAGGGAAGCTGAAGTAATGAAAAGTTTTTTCACCAAAAGTTTTTTTTCCAGAGTTTTTTGTTCTGACTGAGTAAAATTAAAAAGGCCATCAAGGTACATAGAGTCAAAGGCATTGAGAAATGTATAAACCAGTTGATTGTAAATTGACTTAAAATGGTAGATTGGACACTGGCCTGTAGTTATTAAATATGGAGGCATCCAAAGTATTTAATCTTCTGAAGTGGTTTAACTATGGCAGACTTGTGAACAGTAGAGAAGAAACTCATTTAAAGATAATACTTGCTATTGTTCAAAATAAATTCAGTCAGTATTCACATTGATTCTTGACATGGTTCTGCTACACAAAGTTTGATTGCACATTTCTCATAAACACATCTTTGAGTCACATACTGTGTGCTATAGACATCTACACTGTAAAGTAACAGTGACTAAGCTGTTAAGGAGGAACAACAAGTTTCAGGGTTAGGTCTAGAGCAGTGGCAGTCAAACCCCACACTCGCTTTTTCTCGTTGTGAAACACGGGGAGTGTGTATGCATACTTGTCACCAGTGCGGAAGTGTGTGTAGCCACAGTTCTGGGGGTTGCACAAGTGGGACAAGGGCAAAGTGAAGATTTCCTCGACCTGTGTCAGAAACAGACAAAAGAGGAACATTACATCTTTGGTCCAAAACACAAACCCACCAGAAAGAGATGTGTGTTTATGGTATTTGTTTGATAACTGTTTATGAGTTTGTTACAATGCAGATGTGGAAGCCTGACCATTTCAAGCAGATATAAATGTAGTGAAGTGCTACACACAGGACGGTCGTACCTCTGCAGGGTTTGGTTTGAACGACAACTCCTCTACAGGCCCCAGGTTAGCCAGAACAGGAGCAATCATCATCCCTGTCTGGAGAGAGGGACAAAAGGTGTCAACTCAACACTGAGTATCAGTATGAACATATTACATATATAACATTAAGTGCAATGAAATATTTAAGTGACATGAAACCATTTACCATGTTTTATGTTATGAAGAGAGATTTGTCTGTGCAGTAGTGGACATAAAGACAAGTTTCTTAAGGCCTGATACTGAATTTATGGCTAGTCCTGGAAAAAAATGTGAATAACTAAATGTAAAGAATACATTTGCAATCTGGATAGATTCATTCACAGTATGACATTATATCAGTTCAGAAAATAAAAAAAGGGAAGACTTATCAAAGCTCTCTACTTCACCACATGGCCCAAATTCTTAAAAACTAAATCATCGAACTCACCATGTCCCTGAGAGGCTTCAGGACTCCCCAGACCCTGTCTGCTGCAACATTAACACCCAGCTCCTCCCAGGTTTCCCTCAGCGCTGTGGCCACCACATCTCTATCTGAGGGATCACTTTTTCCTCCTGCAAAGCTACACAGAAATGGAAATAAGGACACATACTCTGACTGTCTAACACAATTTGAAAAGTTTCAGACAAGCCACAAACCTGACATCTCCCTTGTTCCTGCCCAGTTTTAAGGAGCGTAGGGTGAAGAGAAACGCTGGCTGCCCCCCAACAGTGCAGAGCGAGACCAGGACAGATGCATATTTCCGCTGTTTCTCTCCTTGGCTCTGACTTGTTGCTTTGCTCCATCTTGCTGCATCATAGAGCTTCAAGTTGGGCCTGAGGTTCTGTCGACACCTGTTTTCATTCTCCAGGGATAGACAGTCCCTCCAGTCATCCACCAAATGAGGGGAAACCTGATGAATAGCTCTGCTTTGCTGAAGAAAGAAGCTGGTGGCTTGTGATCGTCTGTGAAAGTGGTTTAAGATGCGTGATGACATAGCTGATAAGCTGGCAGTGTGCCGCCTGTGATATAAATGGCTTTGTGGGTTACATGGAGACTTATTGGTGAAACTGAGTGAAACATGGCAAAAGTCTTGAGGCCTCCTCCAGGGTAGAAGGCAAGTTGTGTTGGTTAAACATTCCTGGTGAGTGCTCATAGCTTGAGGGTTCCGACCTGAAACTTTCACTACAGTGGATTGCCATGATTCAGGAACTGGTTTGTTTTTTACAGAGGTAGAAAGTTGAGGGGTCTGATGAGGACTGGATACAATTGTTTTGGATACGGAGTTATGAAATGAAACCTCTGTCAGGTGATGACTATCACACTTCCAGTTGAATACATGTGGCTGTATTGAATTGGATACAGTCTCTTTGGATAATGATGACAGCCCCTCATTGCTTCGGCCTCCTCCAGGAATCCCTTCATTCCGGTTCCCCTTCACATGTCTTGCACCCTGGCACACTGTGTGCTCAGAGAGAGCAGACGGGGGACATGCTCTCAACAGCAGCAATGTCCTTGTTGGACAGGACCATGTCAGGACATGAGGGGCCCTGAACATCCTGTAAAGAAAACAGACACACCCAGGAGACACGTTTAAAAAGCATTTCAATTGTGTAACCATCAGCTAACCAGACCACCTAGCTCAGGTAAACAGGACACTACCAGCAGAATGAGGAGTTATGATTACCTCTTGTGTAAAGTGTTAACCTTAGCCAGTATGAGCTTTGTCCATTCAAACCCTGGACCTAACCTGGACCCCATTATTATTTTTACTATCAAGACTTTGTGTCAAACTTTGGCTGTTAGCTCCAGCTGTAAGATTAGCTAGCTATCTCAGCTCCGACAGCGACGTCTGAGACAAAAAAACATCACACTGCGTCAAAGTGTTCAGTTTGTGGACTCTCGGTAACAACCGAAGCTAACCCAGTCGGTTTGAAAAGCCGTCGACGTCTTCTTCGGGTTGAAGAAGTCATCCAAGCGCATGCTAACTAGCTGAAGTAAACATTAGCATAACACGAGCAAAGTGGGAAAACTAGCTAACGTCAACTCTCCAGTGTTGTCAATGGTGAGGATTCGTCCTGTCCCACAGGGGCTCAGAGACACACCAGGCTGAAGACGCTGATGTAGAGGTGCAGTCTGGACGAGGAAAACACTCACCTTCACAGTGAAATCAGCAGCCGCGCTCTGCCTCAGTTAACCGGCTGCTGCTGCCCCAAGTCAATATGGCGCAGGACCGGCGTCTTGCGCGTGGCCGCTGCCTTCACTGCGCTGACGCCAAACACGTGTTTCACAACTTCTCCATTCAGCTGCAGCAAATAATGGGGGGGGGGACGACTGTATATAAAGAAGCCATTGTTGACGTTTCCATCTCTAGTCACGCCCCCGAGAGAAGAACCAGTCTATCCTCTTTGAATCACTATGAATTAACTTTTTATTTCCTATTTCACTGGTTCACAAAAAAAATCACAGCAGTTATTAGTATGATCAGCTTATTAATACTGTGATATAATATAATATATAATATGATTCTTTTGTTGGTTGTTTTTCAAGAGTCGTGAAGCTGCCATGTGTCGATGAGGCCTAATCTGTATGAATTCTCTACCTGGGAATCACCTATGACACAAGCGAGAAACTCCTCACCCCACCTGTTTTACCAGTCCAGCCTGAAACCTGGAGGTTGTTTCAGGTTTTAAGCAGCATGTGATTCGTGTCAACTGGCATTTCAGACTTGCCATCTTTGTCCGCTTCACCTTACTTGAACAGGGAACCGTGTGGTTGTCCGTATATATCCAGCTCTGATCTCTGTGAACTGCCACCTTCGACCCAGCACTATATGGCCTCTGCGTGGACTGAGGAGGAGACATTTGTCTGCTCAGTGTGCTTGGACACTCTGAAGGACCCAGCCACTCTACCCTGTGGACACTCATACTGCCTGGCTTGTATTCAGAGCCACTGGGACAAGAGAAACAGCAAGGGTGAGTACAGCTGCCCCCAGTGTCGGCAGGTTTTCAGCCCTCGGCCCTCGCTGGCTAAGAGCACTGTCCTTGTGGAGGCCATGGAAAAACTGAGAACCAACAGCTTCAAGCAAAGCTTCTCCACCGCCTCACCTTCCATGCCCATCTACCTGGAGGTCCTACCACATTTAGGGCCGCGACAGGGCAGTGTGTACCCCCAGCTTCCAACGAAGAACCCCAGATCCTGCCCTCAACACAACCAACCTCTGGAACTGTATTGCCGTGAAGACAAGGAGTGTGTGTGTGAGCTATGCTGCCAGCATGGACACAAGGGACATCATGTGCTCAAATCACAGGAAGAGAGGAAGAAGAGGCAGGTACGTAATGGAAAAGGACCACCAGGGTTAAATGAGTGCTGTTTTATAAGTTGTTTCTGCCATGCTGAAGAACGAGAAGCATTTTCCAAATGTGCTTGAAGTTCTTGTTAAACAACTGTCTTTAGTGTTTACACCTGTCACATGTGGTGAGTTTTAAGTGTTCTGGTCTCTTTTCTATGCTAAACTCTGGATCGTGTGTGTGTCTGTGTGTATAGACAGAGCTTGTTCACATGCAAGCAGAGGTACAGAGGAGAATTCAGGAGACTGAAAAGAAACTTAAGGAGCTCCCACATCTTGCTCGCCAGCACAAGGTAAATGATCATTTTTGTATTACCTTTCGGATATCTTACCTGTATATCAGTTTATGACATACAATACATGTCTACTGCTTTTGTAATTTCTTCATCTGTGATCCCTGTCTTCTTCTCTCCTTACCCCCAGGCCTTGGTCCAGGCTCTACAGCAAGAGAGCACAGATTTATACACAGAGCTGGCCAAGAACGTGAGTCTAACAGGCACCCAGGCTGGCGAGCTCCTCAGCACCCATGAGACCTCCATAGGAAGCCAGGTTGAGGTGCAGATTCACAGACTAGAGCAGGAGGTGGCACAGCTCGGCTGGAAGAGCGAGGAGCTGAGCAGGCTGGCCGACATGCAGGACAACGTCTGCTTCCTGAAGGTGTGCAGCAGGGTTAGCCTGGAAGTCTCACAAGAAAAATAAATGAATACAGGACACTGACTTTATTGTCCACTTTATAGTGGAAATGTGTCTTTGGCTTCTTGTAAAATACACACAGAGCACATCATTCAATACATACCAATAGTGCAAATGAACAGGTAGCAGCAGGTAAGTTATATAACATAGCATAACATAAGATAACAGTATAAAAGCATAAGATAACAGTTTAACAGAGACGAGAATTGCTGTTGAAACTTAATGTCATTTGTTCTTAAGAATTTCCTAACCCTGGAGCCACTGGGTAAGACAGGTGCCACGGGAGAGTCAGTGCTCTGTCGGGAGGAAGCGGTTGTCGCCTCCATCCGTTCAGTCATGCAAGAATTACAAACATCGATACAGGAGCTCTGCAGAGCCAGTCTGGCCAAGATCAACACATTAGGTCAGCCTCCTCTCCTCTCCTCTCCTCTGCTCTCCTCTCTTCTCCTCTCCTCTCCTCTGCTCTCCTCTCTTCTCCTCTCCTCTCCCCTGTTCTCTTACACCCTCCTCTTCTTCAGACAGTCAAAACTTGTCATTTCTTTGTAGTGAATCATGTCCCTGTGCCTTCAACACCCAGTGGTGCAGTTTCAGGTGCAACAGTCACTGAAAACTGTGGTCAGGACAAAGCACAAAACACAGGTATAGAAATGTTTAATCATGCAGTGTATTGACTATTATGTGTACTAAAGAAAAGGACACCTGATGTATTTCTCAAAACTCATCCTCTCGTTTCTGTAGTGTATGAAATGATGATGGACCCTCCACCTATGCCGCCTCCAAGACCTCAAGGTCAGTTACTTTAGAAACATAAGATAATATTTGCTTTGTGTAATTGTACTTTTTTTCCTAGGGCATAAGTCTTCATTATAACATCCAGCTCTAAATCCTGCATGTCCTCAATGTGAAAACATGAAAATATGTTTCAAATGATATTAAATGTAATGTAGTTGAGGTTTTCAATATTTGCTTTACTTGTTGTATTTGTTCCCTCTCTCCCCATTTCTGTGGACATGAAGCTTCAGCCCCACCTCCAACCTTCCATCCTCCTCAACCTCATGGTAAATACAAACCCTTTATAAACTGCCCGCAGGTAGTAATCTATTTGTAGACATAGGTGTGGTGCAGATTAGTTGTAATCCCTGATTTCATAAACTTGTGTGTTTTTGTAATCTTAGCACCTCCTGCAACAACAACAGGACTTGTGAATCCAGAACCAAAGTCTAGAGAAGAATTGCTGAAATGTGAGTCCATCATGCTTCACAATATGAAACAGATTAAATAGACCACAAAGTCAAAGCCTGCAAAGCAGTGAGAGTTCTCACTTAAATACATCCTGTCCCTTCAGTTCGCTTTGAACCCACCATGGACCCGAACACGGTGTATCGCCACATCCAGTTGTTAGATGGAGGTCATAAGGCCACGATGCGGGCTGAAAATCTGAACCCTCACGACCACCCAGAGCGCTTCCACTTCTGGAGACAGGTTCTCTGCAGAGAGCCCCTGGCTGGGAGCCCCTACTACTGGGAGGTGGAGTGGACTGGCCAAAAGGTGGATCCTTTTTATTTCAGTCATGAAATGGGTGGTTTCAGATATAGACATGTGTCTTGCCTGCTTTATTATCCAAAATAAAAAGATACATTCTCTCATCTTTGATTAAAAACTTCTGGGGGCATTGCAATGAAAATTTGTGGTTCATTTTTGGATGAATATTAATCCTCTTATTTCTCCTCTGGCACCATCACCACCAGGAGTGGCTTCCTTTCCTAATCTAGTTTTCCCTGTCTCCCCATGCAGATCACTATTGGTGTGGCCTACATGGAGATTGAACGTAAATGTTCTGATGACAAAAGTCGTTTGGGCCACAATCCCCAGTCCTGGAGCTTGTACTGGTCTGGCACTGGTTTCTCCTTCTGGCACGACGGGCAGGAAAAAATCCTCGGCTCAACTAAGGCCAAACGGATCGGTGTGTATCTGGACCAACATGCAGGGACTCTGGCCTTTTACCGCATCGTCAACAACCAGGCTGACCTCATCCACCGGCACCAGACCCCCTTCACTGGACCACTGTACCCAGGATTCAGATTCTGGGCAGGAGTAGGGGCCACAGTGACGGTCTGCCAACTGGATTAAATTGTATATGAATGATGGGCAATTATTTTTTAGATACAACTGCCTGATGTAAAGTTTCTAAAACTGTGTATGTAAGTGAATAAAGAAGGAATATGCACATTATCATCATTCACACTTTTGTAAAAAGTACAGAGTAATACCACAAATATCTGCCTGAATGTGGAAAACATATTTCACAATCTGTTTAAATTATCAGCTTCACACTTGGCATGTGTATTTTTAATGGCCCGGAAAAGTTTAGTGTCAAATTTGGTGTGATTTTGACACGTGATGAGTTCAATATAAAAAAATCTTTTGAATGAACAGGCGCTCTGTAGAGGGTTGCCTAGTGCCAGTGGGAGTGAGGCAGTGTGGCTTCAGTCTGTGGACCAAGTTGAACATGTCCTTGAAAAAACACCTTTGTAAATTGACCACATGTGAACATTAATAAAGCAAATTCAGTTTCATTTTATAAAAACATTGGCTACAAAATCTTTGTTGCAGATAAACCAGGTACGATGAACACAATGTTTTCTAATTTCACTCTGCATCAGAGACTGTTTATAAAAAGCTCTGCACTCAATGTTCAGCACCAAAACAATAAAAAGTGACAGTATATTGTAGAGCTGAGGAGGACTCACTAAAGACAAAGAGTTATTCTGAAGTAGCTCCGGAGCTTTAACACAGGACAAGAGAACAGAACATCACAAAGAGGCAGGTTTAGAACATGCACTGCCCTAGTTTTTTTTTTCACTGAACAGAAACATCTCAGTGTCCTGTGAAAGTGTAGACTCTTGATGGTTCAGATATCACCCAGTATTTTTTCTATTCTGGTCTGGCTGATACAAATAAGGCATTTCTTACTCCTATCTTCCTGTGTTCCTAAGGGTATAACAAGTGTCCTGAGGATCTTATCTTTGAGCCCCACACCTCAGTGACCTGGATCACTTGAAGTGCCCTTCCATTCTTAAGTTATCCCTAGTACAGTATCTTTAGTATTCCCATATGGATATGCAAAGAACCATCTGACCTGCATTGTTCCTTTTTCCCCACCCATTCTTTTCACTGGACATGGGTTACATCATCCATAAACCTACAATGGCAAGTCCACATTTGTGTTCGTTATTATATGTATGTGTTCTCAGCTCCTTCCTCTATTGGAGGGAAAACTTTTTTTTTTCAATCATTCATTCCAAACATTGAGAGGTATTACCTCATTGTGTCTTAGTTAGCTCAAGAACACTATCAGCCTTTGACAAAAACCTCAATCTCAGCTCAAACAACTCTAGTTATCTAAACTCCTTAAACGTATTTTATGTGAACAAAACCAGATGACTGATCATTCTATTTTCGATGCACAATAAAGCGTGACACACTTTCATAAACACAGAGGAAAGACACTATGTGTGTTGATGGAAACACTGAACCACTTGGACAACCTGCCTCAGAGGGTAGAAATGATACCTGACCTACATCCACAGGACAAAGACCTGGCGGGTGTGTATGTATATGTGACATGTCAAGCCCCCACCCATGAAGAAATGAGTTAGGGTATACAGGTATAGATGTGCGTAAAGGCCAAAAAAAGGGGATGGACTGCAGAGGAAACAGGGAGGAGCCAGATGGATGGAATTGATGGGAAACGTATATATCTGTGACTCTTGACCCTGCATCAGTCTATCACACCTGCTCTTCTGACGCCAGCATCACCTGCCAGTGTAACCATGCGAGGTGAGAATGCTCATAGTTAGAAGAAACTGTTAACAAGCTGCTAATTTAAATGCAACAAGGAGACGGATGGAGACTAGATGCTTATGAGTAAAATTATCTGCTCTCCTTTTCCTCCCAGCTATTGTACTACTGTGTCTGCTGGGATCAGCTATGGCTGAAGACGACGGTTTTTCCTGGGGTGGACCTGGCAAGAATGTTGTTGATCCTGCCGAAAACAACGGTGAGAGATTTTTGCAGAAAACAAGTTAGAAACACACTGTCTGCCCATAATGTGATATGTAAAGCTCCAACCTGGTGCAAATGTGTGTGTGTGTGTACAGTGTGTCTCACGGACCAGGCGTCATGTGGCTGCTGTCTGATGCAGCAGCAGATACACAGGATGGAGACATTCTTTAACATGACTCTCAATCAGCTGGAAAAGGAACTCATAAAAACAATGACTGTCCTCAACAATGTCAGAGGTGAGCTAAGAGCATGCGTTACACAACATAAAGCAGCTGGACTGTTCAGTTGAATCTTCACAATAAGTCTATTTCTGTATCCCACTGCATATCCAGACAGCAGAAGCGCCTTCTCTGTCGCACTTACCAATGAAGACAGTTTGACTTGCTTCGGTCCCTTCCGTGACGACAAGGTCATCGCCTACAAGCACGTCTTCATCAACCTTGGAAACGGCTACAGCGTGGACACTGGTATCTTCACAGCTCCCCGCTCTGGTGTGTACAGCCTCGCCCTCACTGTCTACAGTGACGCCGGGTCGCCTGGCAACAGCCTCGCCGCCTGCGCCACTCTTCAGGTCAACGGTCAGGTGGTGGCAGGACCCAGAGAAAAAAACATGCAGGACCAAGAGGACAGTGCCACCATTGTTGTGGCTCTCCACCTGCTAGCTGGGGACATAGTGGCTGTCAGTTTGCCCATAGGATGTTTCCTCTGCGACAACAACAGCCACTACAACACTTTCACTGGTTTCCTGCTCTATGCTACTGACTAAGTTAGAGAAATGAAGCTGCTCTGGGTTTCAGCTGTCACCATACTGACATGGTTTGAAGCTGTTAGAATAAATCTTCCTGAGGGGACAGCTGTGAGATGTATTCCCTAATCTATCTGATCTTTTGTGCTCTAACCCATCCCCATATCATTTCATCATATGCTACTATTCCCATTCTCAATGTTATCTATTCACTAAAATATGTTTTTGAAGCCATTTCAAACATCAGACATCAAATTTCAAAATGTTGTTATCCTGTGTCCCAACCTTCCTTAGACCTGACCAACATCACACATAAAGTGTCTTTGTTCTTGAAGCTGAAAATCTTCCAGTGACTGATGTTGTGTGTTGGAAATTATGATTGAAACATGTCATCTGTTTAATTTCAAGAAAATAAATCTGGATTTTGAACAAAACTGCAGCATTGTGAGATGTTTTTTTTTAGTCTGGGGAATAGCACACTTAAATGAGTTGACTATCGATTCAGCACTTCACTCTCATAGCACTGTCAGAGTCTTGAGGGGAAGTTGTAAAAGAGGATTAAAATACATTCAACAAAATGAGAAACCTTTTTTTATTTTTTTTATTTTAGGTATTTTTCTTCCTTGAAAAACCTGATTACTACATTACCCACAATGCAAATGCAGCCACAATCAGTTCAGTTGGACCTTTTTCTGAGTGTCAGCTAATGTTGCCTTAAACACAGAAGTTCACTCCACACCTCCCGTTTTCAAATTTGAAACTTGTCAAGTTGAGTGGGGAGGAATGCGGTAGAAAAAAGGGAACAGGTGGACCAAGACGCAGAACTAAATACGGTTTAACAAAAAGCATCCTTTATTTAAAAGGTAAACATAACAAAAGAATCTTCAACAAACAAAAGTCACACTCAATCAAAACAGCGGAGTGGAACAGGGAAAGACATGAAACGTGGCGAGTGGTGACGATAGACGACAACGAACCAACCACCACATGGGGGAACACCAAGACTTAAATACACACTTGAACTAATGAGTAAGTGGGGACAGGTGGCACAAGACAAACAGGTGAGCATGATTAGGGCAGGAAGTCAAATGGGGAAAGCACACCAGGAGCAGGGACTACAAAATAAAACAGGAAACAGAGGAACACTGAACAAACTTAAAACATGAATTCACAATGTAACAAAAACACTGTTGAAACATCAACTGAAAACACTCCTCATAAAAGAAAATACAATAACCATGACAGGGATGAAACCAGGAGAAGCACAGGGTGGAACATAAAGAGGAACACAGAGATGGGACACAAGCGAGGGACACAGAGGGGACATGGAACAAACTTAAAACATGAATTCAAAATGTAACAAAAACACAATTTAAACTAGAGCTGAAAACACTCTTTATAAAAGAGGAAAAAATACCATAACCGTGTAGTCTTTAACCACAACTTGCTATGACTCCATTTATCAGACTGGAGCCAAAAAAATGTCTCATGACAAATGTCTTTGCCTCAGTAATGTTGGTCCTGCTATATGGCGACCTGTCCACGCTGTACCATGCCTCTTGTCCAATGTCAGCTAGGATTGGCTCCAGCTGCCCCCACGACCATCATGGATGGATGGATGAATGTCAGTTGTGCCTTGGGGTGTGACGCCCAAATATTAATGATTATTGGCAAACAGAGCAAAGATATTCAGGACTGGACCTTCAATTTCAAGACATACATTTTTCTTCAATACACACATTTTTCTTGAAGCCCTAGAGTTATTAAATGAGACACAAAGCCAAGAACAGTGTTTGAGTAATCAGATTTGTGTTTTCAGTAATCAGATTTGTGAATATTTACATGGATCTGCAAATCAGTATTTAAACTTTGTGTGTAATTGGATTTGCAAATATGTAATTCTAATCCTTCGGAAATAGTGAAACCACCAAATCTAAAAAAAAAGTACAAGATATTTTTGAATAACTTTTTTTCTGAAAGTCATAGAGACTTGTGCATTTCATGAATGATAAAGTGTAGAGTGCCACACAGCCACACCGAATTTCAGCACATTTGGAGCAAGCAGCTCGGAGTTATTAACCTTAAGGTGAATATGGGTTAGGGTTGCAATTAGGGTTAGGGTTGCAATTAGGGTTAGGGTTAGGGTTAGGGTTGCAATTAGGGTTAGGGTTGCAGCCAGGGTTAGGGTTAGGGTTGGGGAGGAAACCCCATTGGAGATCAAGATATTCTTGAATAACTTTTGTTCTGAAGGTCATAGAGACTTGGAAGTCGGTTCCATCT